TTTTCAGAAAGGTACCATGATTCACGATTTATAACATTTGTATGAACGAGGAGAAAAAAAGGGATTACCCTAAGTGTATTTGAACGGTAAACAGCCAAACATTTTTTCCGCCTAGAGTAAAAAATAATGGAAAGGCAAGGGAGTTGAGAAGTTCAGACCCCGTCCCCTCCCCTACCTCTACTCCCCATCCCCTCCACCAAGTGGAGCCAGTGGCTGGCCTGAAGATAAGGTGTACATTTGCCTGAAAATGGCGAGAGGGGTCCTAATGCGAAAACTTTTTGCTAACAGCATTACAAGCAAAACTAAGTTGGCCGATGATGTTCACCAAGAATTTTGTGAATTATGATTAACACATTTAGTTAACTTCCTAATTAAACACACTTACAAAGGGTTGCTAGGATATTAAATGCACACCTTTTGAAGGCATCCATCAGCTCCTGGCTTGAAAGGTCCAAACAGAGCCACCAGTTGCAGAAACTGGTCCAATCTGACATGGCTGTCATTGGCTTTCAATCACGAGCAAAGAAAAAAGAAAAACATGTAACCCACTTTTTGTAAGGTGAGTAAATGACTTATACTGGCTTAGAGCGGTTTTCAATTGAGTGTCGTAAAACCAAAACCAAAGTAATCACTCTCGCCAATCTTGAAGGACACAGACAATCCAGTGAACCAATCAAAACTCGAAGTAATTACATGTAGCTGATGCAAAGCGCAGGGAAATGCGTGCGAACGAGTAGCGATTGGTTTTGGTTTTACTTCTGATTGGACGACAAAGTGGCGCAAGTTTTTTAAACCAATCGCGTAGCGTAGTAATTGCAAAACCATTTACTTTTTGACACTCAAATGAAAACTGCTCAAAGACAGATTCAAACACAATTATCATTTAGACAATACTCTGCCCACATGGAGACACCTTGGAGGTGAAGTGGTGGAACTTAAAAGCTTCATAAGTGGCCAGCCCACAATAGTTTTCAGCATTTTTCAGCACTTCGTCTTGCAGAATCTTGACATGCTGATTTAACAACCAGATAATAAAAATTGGGGGTCAGTCAGCTGTTTGATGTCATTTTAATTGTGTCGACTGAAAAAGAGTGTCCCATATTTATTTATCAAAGATTAATTGCTGAAAAATGCTGCAGACAGTATCCTGTTACCCCTGACCTGGAGTTGCACTCAAGCCTCAATCCACAATAAAATAGATTAACCCAGTTGCTAGAGCATAAGCCAACGACTTCCACCGGCTAAGACGCTGGTCCAGGTTAGCCAGCAATATTTTGCAAGGTTTCCCTGGTTTTTCAGTTTCCTGGGTCGGGTGGGGGTGCAGTGGCCTAATGGTTAGTGTGCTCAACTATGGATCAAGTGGTCTGATTCAATTCCTCACTTTACTCTCACAGTACCTCTCTCCACCCAGGTGTCTAAACAGGTATCAACAAATTTGTAATGCTGGGGGGTAATCATGTTGTGGACTAGCATCCCATCCAGGGGCATGGGGAATAGAAATACTCCTTGTCGCTAACTGGAGATAAGTGCTGGCCTGATGGGCCACTTGGCTCCTATGCAGAAACAAAATGGCGTTTTTTTGGAGCTATCTTCGAGATTTCGTCGGGACACAGAAAATCGAGGATCTAACCCAATCCAAAACTTTTTGTGCAGAAATATTTCAAATAACAAGTAGATTCGTTTTACCAAAAAAAAAAA